TTCCTAGGTATTTTATTCTTTTTGATGCAATTGTGAATGGAATTGTTTTCCTGATTTCTCTTTCTGCTAGTTCATCATTAGTGTATAGGAATGCAACAGATTTCTGTGTATTAATTTTATATCCCACAACTTTGCTGAATTCAGATATTAGATAGTAGTTTTGGAGTGGATTCTTTAGGGTTTTTTATGTACAATTTCATGTCATCTGCAAATAGTGACAATTTAACTTCTTCCTTACAAACCTGGATGCCTTTTATTTCTTTGTGTTATCTGATTGCTGTGGCTAGGACTTCCAGAGCTATGTTGAATAAAAGTGGGGAGAGTGGGCATCCTTGTCTTGTTCCCAATCTTAAAGGAAAAGCTTTCAGCTTCTCACTGTTAAGTATATTGTTGGCTGTGGGTTTGTCATATATGGCCTTTATTATGTTGAGGTACTTGGCCTCTATACCCATTTTGTTGAGAGTTTTTATCATGAATGGATGTTGAATTTTGTCAAATGCTTTTTCAGCATCTATGGAGATGATCATGTGGTTTTTGTCCTTCTTTTTGTTGATGTGGTGGATGATGTTGATGGATTTTCGAATGTTGTATCATCCTTGCATTCCTGGAATAAATCCTACTTGATCATGATGGATGATCTTTTTGATGTATTTTTTTAATTTGGTTTGCTAATATTTTGCTGAGTATTTTTGCATCTATGTTCATCAGGGATATTGGTCTGTAATTTTCTTTTTTGGTGGTGTCTTTGCCTGGTCTTGGTATTAGAGGGATGTTGACCTCATAGAATGAGTTTGGGAGTATTCCCTCCTCTTCTACTTTTTGGAAAACTTTAAGGAGGATGGGTATTAGGTCTTCACTAAATGTTTGATAAAATTCAGCAGTGAAACCATCTGAGCTGGGGGTTTTATTCTTAGGTAGGTTTTTGATTACCAGTTCAATTTCATTGCTGGTAATTGGTCTGTTCAGGTTTTCTGTTTCTTCCTGGGTTAGCATTGGAAGGTTGTGTCTTTCTAGAAAGTTGTCCATTTCTTCTAGGTTATCCAGTTTGTTAGCATATAATTTTTCATAGTATTCTCTCATAATTCTTTGTATTTCTGTGGTGTCCTTAGTGATTTTTCCTTTCTCATATCTGATTCTGTTTATGTGTGTAGGCTCTCTTTTTTTCTTGCTAAGTCTGCCTAGGGGTTTATCTATTTTGTTTATTTTCTCAGAGAACCAGCTCCTGCTTTCATTAATTATTTCTATTGTTTCATTCATCTCGATTTTATTTATTTCTGCTCTATCTTTATTTGCCCTCCTTCTACTGACTTTGGGACTCATTTGTTCTTCCTTTTCTAGTTTCATTAATTGTGAGTGTATATTGTTCATTTGGGATTATTCTTTCCTGAGGGAGGCCTGTATTGCAATATACTTTCCTCTTAGCATGGCCTTCACTGCATACACAGATTTTGCAGTGTTGAATTATTGTCATTTGTCTCCATATATTGCTTGATCTCTGTTTTTATTTGGTCATTGATCCACTGATTATTTAGGAGCATGTTATTAAGCCTCCATGTGTTTGTGGGATTTTTTGTTTTCTTATTGTAATTTATTTCTAGTTTCATACCTTTGTGTTCTGAGAAGGTGGCTGGTACCATTTCAATCTTTTTGAATTTACTGAGGCTCTTTTTGTGGCTTAGTATATGATCTATTCTTGAAAATGTTCCATGTGCACTTGAGAAGAATGTGTATCTTGTTGCTTTTGAATGGAGTGTTCTGTAGATGCCTGTTAGGTCTACCTGTTCTAATACATTGTTCAGTGCCTCTGTCTCTTTGTTTTCTGTCTGGTTGATCTGTCCTTTGGAGTAAGTGGTGTGTTGAAGTCTCCTAAAATGAATACATTGCACTCTATTTCCTCCTTTAATTCTATTAGTATTTGTTTCACATATGTAGGTGATCCTGTGTTGGGTGCATAGATATTTATAATAGTTATATCCTTTTTTTGGATGGCCCTCTTTAATATTATGTAATGTCCTTCTTTGTCTCATTACTTTCTTTGTTTTGAAGTCTATTTTGTCTGATACAAGTACTGCAATTCCTGCTTTTTTCTCCCTATTAGTTGCATGAAATATCTTTTTCCACCCATTTCTTTCAGTCTGTGTATGTCTTTGGATTTAAGGTGAGTCTCTTGTAGGCAGCTTATAGACAGGTGTTGTTTTTTTACCCATTCAGTGACTTTATGTCTTTTGATTGGTGCATTCAGATCATTTACATTTAGGGTGATTATCAATAGGTATGTACTTATTGCCATTGCAGGCTTTAGATTCGTGGCTACCAAAGGTTCAAGGGTAATTCCCTTACTATCTAACAGTCTAATTTAGCTCACTTCATATGCTATTACAAACACAACCTAAAGCTTCTTTTTTTTCCCTCCTCCTTTTCCTTCCTCCTCCATTCTTTATATGTTAGGTATCATATTCTGTACTCTTTGTCTATACTTGATTGACTTTGGGGGTAGTTGATTTGATTTTGCAATTGCTTAGTAATTAGTTGTTCTATTTTGCTGTGGTTTTATTTCCCCTGGTGACATCTATTTAACCTTAGGAATACTTCCATCTACAGCAGTCCCTCCAAAATACACTGTAGAGGTGGTTTGTGGGAGGTAAATTCTCTCAGCTTTTGCTTATCTGAAAATTGTTTAATCCCTCATTCAAATTTAAATGATAATCTTACCAGTTAGAGTATTCTTGGTTGGAGGCCCTTCTGCTTCATTGTATTAAATATATCATGCCACTCTCTTCTGGCCTGTAAGGTTTCTGTTGCAATATCTGATGATAGCCTGATGGGTTTTCCTTTGTATGTGATCTTTTATCTCTCTCTAGCTGCTTTTAAAAATCCGTCTTCATCCTTGATCTTTGCCATTTTAATTATTATATGTCTTGATGTTGTCTTCCATGGGTCCCTTGTGTTGGGAGATCTGTGCACCTCCATGGCTTGAGAGACTATCTCCTTCCCCAGATCAGGGAAGTTTTTAACAATTACCTCCTCAATAACATTTTCTATCCCTTTTTCTCTCTCTTCTTCTTCTGGTACCCCTGTAATGCAAATATTGTTCCATTTGGATTGGTCACATAATTCTCTCAATATTCTTTCACTCTTAGAGATCCTTTTTTCTCTCTGTGCCTCAGCTTCTTTGTATTCCTCTCCTCTAATTTCTATTCCATTTACCATCTCTTCTACTATGTCTAATCTACTTTTAAATCCCTCCATTGTATGTTTCATTTCAGATATGGAATTTCTTAATAATTGAATCTCCATCTTAAATTTGTTCCTGAGTTCTTGAATATTTTTCTGTACCTCCATGAGCATGCTGATGATTTTTATTTTGAATTTGCTTTCAGGAAAATTGGTGAGTTCAGTTTCATTTGGCCCTTTTTCTGGGGTTTGTGAGATTTTGGTCTGAACCAGGTTCCTTTGACATTTCATATTTCTATGTGGCACCCTCTCGTGCCCAGAAGCTCTAGTCTCTGCAGCTGCTCAGCCCCTAGAGTGAGGTTGGGGATCATAGGGGGGTGGCACTGGTGCCTGGGGGGTGGAAAGAACTGTTTCTTGATTCCTGGCTGTTGTGCCTGTCTGCAGCATCAGAGCCAGTGGGCCTAGTACACAGGTGTAAGCCTCTGTGCTTTGCCTCTCTAGCTGTTCTAGGCAGGGCCTCCCTCTGGCTGACTTGATGCCAGCACAGTGACTGCTGGTTTGTGAGCCGGTGCCAGCAGGCCAGGAGGAAGGTGCAGCAGGCTGTGTATCACAGTGGGGGGCCTTGGAGCTGAGTAGCCAGCCAGAGGGATGGAGTGCCTGAAGCTCCTCAAAGTTCCCAACCTTCTAGGAAGAGTGCACCCAGCCAACCTTGTCCGCCTATCCCTTCCCCTGTGCAGCAAGCTCCATGCAAACCCCACCCCTGCAGCAGCCCTCTCGATGCTAGGAAGCCTCTCAGACCACCTGCCTTTCCTTTGTCCCAGAGTGGCAGAATGTGGATTTCCGTCCTCCACAATTCCAGCCAGAATCTCAGTCTCTCAAGCACTCTGCCTGTCCCAGCTCCCCAACCCCACCAACCTCCAGAGCACCACACAATGTAAGTTTGTGTTCCAAAGCAGACCTCCAGGGCTGGGTGTTCAGCAGTTCTAGGCCTCCACCCCCTCCCCACTCCATTTCTCTTTCTCCCACCAGTGAGCGGGGATGCGGGAAGGACTTGGGTCCCACTGGATCAAGGCTTTGGTATGTTACCCTGTTTCGTGAGGTCTGCTCTGTTCATGAGGTCTGTATGCAGTCTGGTGCAGCCTTTTTTCCTGTTGCTGTTTTAGGGTTAGTTGTATTAACTATATTTTTGCATTATATGTGATTTTGGGATAAGTTCTCTGTCTCACTTCTCATGCCACCATCTTGAATCCTGGGAGTCCCATGGTAATTTTTTTAATTGCAATATGGCATTGGTGCATAAACAAAAATATTTGCAGTTACAAATAATTAGGGAATCTTTATAACATCAAAAACTGGTGGGGAATTAACTAGCAGAACTCCTGCATATTAGAAGTAATGCATAGTCTCCCAACAGGACCTCGAGGCTTCATTCAAGTGGGGACCTCAAACACTCAACAGAGGTGAGCTGAGTCTAGAGCCAGCCTGCACCACTGGTCAAACTTTGACCTGAGAAACCAGGTCTGAAATTTACGAAGAGTGTGGCATACATTCTGAAAGGAAAGTATGGCTTATTTGGAAATAATAGAAGTATTATTATATGGAGATATTACTGTTAAGGAAATTGAAGCTCAGAGAGATGAAGTCACTTGTCCCAAGTCACACAACAAGCAGAGGCTGTGCACTAGATCTCTTGTGTATAATTAATATATTGCTTGTTATCCATTGCATGCTGTTTCCTTCCTCTCCCCTCCCTGTCTTACAAGTCTATTTATAGAGTTCTTCCAGGTCAGTGCCCTCTCTGGGACTGTTGCCCTTGCTGTACTCACCCTCAGGGCTTTAGGAGGCCATGGTATGCTTGGCCACAGTATCCTTTTCCATGGTGTTCTCGTCTATGGTGTTGCAGATGGGAAGCCCCAGTGGGAACTGGCTCATCTTGGCACTAGCCATCTTGATCCAGGTCCACAGATTCTCCTCCAGGGGCACAGTGTGGATGCTACTGTCCTCAGAATCATCCTGCTGGCTGCTCATTGTCAGGGTGGAGGTGTTGCTGAAGATGAAGCTAGAGCTTAGGCTCAGAGTTTCGTTGGAACCCAGGATCAGCGGCATACACAAGGGTGGAGAAAGGGTAGAGTCAGGTTTCTAGGTGCTGGAGTGAAAGCTGATACTGTCACTGAACCCAGGAATCAGGGTCAAGCATGAGGCCTGAGTGATGGTCACATTCAAATCAGACCTGGGACGATCACGGGAAGATGGTGGCATGAGTAGTTCAGTGGAAATCTCCTCCCAAAAACATATATATATATTTATGAAAATACAATAAATACAACTATTCCTAAAAGAGACACCAGTGAATGCAGTACAACAACCAGCATACATCCACACCTATGAGAACTCAACATCACACGAAGGGGGTAAGATACAAGCTGCGGGCAGGCGGGACTCGAATGCTCCCCCACTCCAGAACCCAGCGGGGAGAAAGGAGTTGGACCGTGGAGGGAGTGGAAGCCCAGGACTGCTAAACAACCAGCTCTAGAAATCCACACCCAGAGTGCAGACACAAGGTGCACGGGGTGCTGGATATTAGAGAAACGGAAAAGCAAAATCTGTGGGCAGGTCCCCGCAACCAGTGCCCCTGAGACAAAAGAAAAGCTAGTGCTTTTTGCAAGTCTTAAAGAGACAGGGACCCCCACAGCTGGATGAAGTCATCCCGGCACACTTAGCCAGCAGCTGGGAATCCTGGGGAACTTTAGGCACCCTGACCCCCTGGGCGGCAGCGCAGCTCTGAAGCCCCTCATGGCACTAAGCAGCCTGCCAGTCGTTTCCCCAACTGGCGCGGACCCCGACACGCTGGCCCAGTAGTGGGAGAGCGGCAGCGCGCGCCAGGAGCGGCGGCACCAGAGGGGACCGGGAGCAGCCCACGTGCTCCAGCGGGGCCAGAAGGAACCGGGAGTGGCTTGTGCAAGCCTGCCGCGGCAGCAACCGAACAGCCCGGGAGCTGCCCGCGCGTGCCGCGGCAGTAGCACCAGAGGAGCCTGGGAGAGGTCCGCGCGGGAGAGGCCCGCGCACATCTGCAGCAGTGCCAGAGGGAGCAGCTGCGCTCCCAGCAGCTGACCGGAATCCCAGCCTGATGCACAGCCGCCCATGCCAGACCCAAAGGCCGCTGCTGGCACGCAGCTGCCCGGCAGGGGTGCTGCTATCACGGAGGAGCACACCTGGCGTGCCTGCCACTCCCCACAGGGCTCCGCGCTGCTCTGACGGAGACCCCGCCCACAGCAGTTTAGGGGATTAACCCGGTGGCTGTTCCAGGAGTGCGGGCGACCGACACAGGCAGCGGAGAAGGGCAAGGCATCCAGCAAGCAGGAAAGGACTTTCTTCTCCCGGCTGACACACCCGCAACCTGCCTACAGCCACCACTATCACCACGAAAAGGCAAAAAAATTTAGTCCTGTCCAAGATAGTTCAGACAACCCCTGGGAGAGGATCTGCAGAGACAGACCTAACCAGTCTCCCTGAAAAAGAATTCAAAATAAAAATCATAAACATGCTGACAAATCAGACCTGGGACTGCCATCTGAAGCCGCATTGATGGTTCCCTTGGAACTTGTGTTCCAGGCTGCACCAAAGTGTCCTTTTGAAACAGACCCAGAAATGTCACGTGAAACCAAAGTCTTGGTCTTCTTGGAGTCTGGGATTACCGTCCCACAATGACCTGGAGCTGCATTGAAATCCAGCTTGGAGATGTTTCTTGAGCCCACACCAAGCGGCTGATTGGAGTCAGGATCCAGAGAAGGGTTTGACACTGGAATAAGGAGTGCTCTTGAGCCTGGCCTGGAGATGCAGTGGCCCAGACCCAGGGCTTCTCTTGAAAAGGGCCTTATCAGTGGGTCTGATTCAGGCCTGGAAGGATTGGAGTTATGCTGACCTAAATCAAAACTCTCACTTGAGAGGGAATTGAAGGCTGCCTCAGAACTCAGCCCTGAGGGGTTTCCTGAGCTCAGACCCTGAGCCTCAATAGAGCCAGGGCTCAAAATAAGGTTTGAGGCTGGACATACAGCCCCTGTGAATCAGGCCTTGAGCTGTGATTCACATTCAGGCCCAGGGCTTCACCAGAGTTGGAAGTGGTGATCAGGAGAGAGGCTGGAGCCCTGTTGTCATTGGGTCTGGGGATGTCATGAGACACCAGGTTGGGGGCCTCCTCTGAGACAGGTCTGAGTTGTATTAAGATCTGGAACAAGAGTCAAGTTAGGACTCAAGGGTAGATTCAAGGTAGGAACAAGGTCTGTGTCTGGGTTGGGCCCAGAGATGGTACCAGAGCCTGAACCTGGGGCCCCAGTGGAATTGAGACTGGATGTCATCTTTGAGTTTTCACTGAGGACCAAGGCTAGCCCTCTGATTCAGGGCCATGCCTGGTTTGGACGTCTCTCAATGCCACTGCCCCCTTTTCTCCTATAGCTGTTGTCAAGCTTCCTGAAGGGCTCCTGAGAGAGCAAAAAAGCAAATTCAGCCATGCCTCACCTATTAAAACCTTTGCATGGCTCTCCACTATCTTCAGGATAAAGGCCCTCTGTGACTTATAAGGGCCTCTGTGACCAGGCCCAGCCCACCTTTCCAGCCCTGTCCTACTCGGCTCTCCCACTTGTGCTCTCTTGATTTCAGCCATATCTCCTGTGTTTCTTTGACCACACCCTGCTTCCTTTCAGCTCATAGCCCTAAAATGCAATTCCTTTGGCTTGAACCTCCTTGTATTGTCCTTTGCCAATCTCACTCCTCCAAACACAGTATCATCACACTTTATTCCAATAACTCATTTAGTGGTCTAGCCCCTGCTAGAGATGAGCTCCACACTGGCAAGAACTATGCATATATCTTAGTCCTTGGGGTCTCCCCAGTGCCTAGCACAGTGCCAGGTACAAAGTGGAGAGTCCACAAATACTAGATAAATGATGAACCTCTCCCACCAAAGGTAAAAAAAGGAAAAGAGGAGCCCCCTTAAGGGTTACCCTCCTTCCAGCCAACCCTAAGTTTCTAAAACCACTCAGCAAACAGAGCCTCAGAACTCAGCCCTGAGGGGTTTCCTGAGCTCAGACCCTGAGCCTCAATAGAGCCAGGGCTCAAAATAAGGTTTGAGGCTGGACATACAGCCCCCTGTGAATCAGGCCTTGAGCTGTGATTCACATTCAGGCCCAGGGCTTCACCAGAGTTGGAAGTGGTGATCAGGAGAGAGGCTGGAGCCCTGTTGTCATTGGGTCTGGGGATGTCATGAGACACCAGGTTGGGGGCCTCCTCTGAGACAGGTCTGAGTTGTATTAAGATCTGGAACAAGAGTCAAGTTAGGACTCAAGGGTAGATTCAAGGTAGGAACAAGGTCTGTGTCTGGGTTGGGCCCAGAGATGGTACCAGAGCCTGAACCTGGGGCCCCAGTGGAATTGAGACTGGATGTCATCTTTGAGTTTTCACTGAGGACCAAGGCTAGCCCTCTGATTCAGGGCCATGCCTGGTTTGGACGTCTCTCAATGCCACTGCCCCCTTTTCTCCTATAGCTGTTGTCAAGCTTCCTGAAGGGCTCCTGAGAGAGCAAAAAAGCAAATTCAGCCATGCCTCACCTATTAAAACCTTTGCATGGCTCTCCACTATCTTCAGGATAAAGGCCCTCTGTGACTTATAAGGGCCTCTGTGACCAGGCCCAGCCCACCTTTCCAGCCCTGTCCTACTCGGCTCTCCCACTTGTGCTCTCTTGATTTCAGCCATATCTCCTGTGTTTCTTTGACCACACCCTGCTTCCTTTCAGCTCATAGCCCTAAAATGCAATTCCTTTGGCTTGAACCTCCTTGTATTGTCCTTTGCCAATCTCACTCCTCCAAACACAGTATCATCACACTTTATTCCAATAACTCATTTAGTGGTCTAGCCCCTGCTAGAGATGAGCTCCACACTGGCAAGAACTATGCATATATCTTAGTCCTTGGGGTCTCCCCAGTGCCTAGCACAGTGCCAGGTACAAAGTGGAGAGTCCACAAATACTAGATAAATGATGAACCTCTCCCACCAAAGGTAAAAAAAGGAAAAGAGGAGCCCCCTTAAGGGTTACCCTCCTTCCAGCCAACCCTAAGTTTCTAAAACCACTCAGCAAACAGTTGTGGTGCTAGATTTCCAAAGCAGCTTTGGAGAGCTGCCCACTGCCCTTAACAGTTGGCCTGTTCTGAGTGAGGTAGGCTATGTGGGGGACAATCTGGGGCAATCATCAAAAACAGTCTGCCTCAACCCAGCAATCTCACCGCTCTGTGAACATCCAATCCCCCTACCCCACCCTACTGTGGGAATTGTAGGGATACCTCAGCTTCATGCATGCTCTTCTTAAGCAGGATTGGGTCCCTGGAAGGAGATGTAGAAGGAAACCAAGTCAGACAAAGAGTGATTTTTTTTCAATACTTACTGAGCAAAATCTACAGGCCACACATGCACATTTGTTAACCAAATCCCTTCTACATATACACAGAGTCCTGGAAGTTAGATATTATTGCTTCATTGTATACTTAAGTCAGTGTAAGTCAAGGAGAAGAAGGTCCCCCACCCCACTGGCCCTCAGGACAACCAAGACCATCTCTCTATGCCACTTGCCTACCTAAACCCCTCCATGGCTTCCCGGTGTCTTGAGGACAGTGTTCTAATCCTTCTGGGTCTGGCCTCTATTCCCTTTTCACCCTTCTTGCCTCTCCATACTCCCTACCCACCCCCCTCCATTCCACCATCTCTGAATCCTTTTATGCTTCTTCAAAAAGTCAGGCTGCCGGGTTAAGTCTGTGCCTTCCACAGGATGGGCACTCAACTTCTCCAGACTCCTTCCCTGGCTAACACCTATAGTTTCACCCATTTGGATTTTAGCCCAAATATTAAGAGCTTTCCGGACCTCCCAGACAGGTGAGGTCCACTTGTAAGTTCCCAGGGCATCTTGTCTACTTCCCCTTCCTTGGCACACAATATCTGGTTTCCCCACTAGACAATAAAATCCTTAAGAGTCTAGAGCAGCAGCACCTGGCACATAGTAAACATTCAATACATGAGCTTATTTCATCTTTGTATCTCTTCTTCATTCACTTATCCTTTCCTTCAATAGCTCATTTCAGCACTTATTTATTATTCATTCATACACTAACTCATTCACTAAATCATTTACTCCACAAATTTTTCTGTGCATCTTTATTGCTTGGCATAGGTTTGGAGTCATGTGGTCCTGGGTTCAAAACCCTGCACATCTTTCTACTGGTCTGAGTGAACCTGGGCAAAGAACTCTGGCCCTGTCCTCCTCATCTCTAATATAGGGAATACAAAGCTTGTAGTTTCAGTATCTGGCATGGAGCACATGGTCCACTCAGAGCCTTCAGGCCTCCTGTAAATGATAGCTACTTGTTCTATTACTCTTGCCACGCACTGTGGGCAGATAGGAGTAAGGGCCTGGTGGGAGCTGCCTTCATTCCAAGTGAGCAATTCACGCACAGCTCGGCATCCTGCCTCAGAAGCAGCAAGTATTCAATTGCCATCAGCACCACAGGTTAGTTTTATCCTGAAGCTTAATGCAATTTAAAATTTCAGGGCTACGTGTTTACACAGTACCTTTTGAAAGAGACTATACTTAATTTTATGTTCACAATTTTGTTTTATTTTACTTAAAGGGGAGCCTCAAAATGATAAAAGCTTCAGGTTCCAAAATACCTGAGATCTTCCCTGGATCACCCCTCCCACCTAAATGCGTGCTTGCATGTGTGTGTGAACATAGTAAACATTCAATACATGAGCCATAGTTATCAAAGGGAGGCATTTTCATCCTGGAAAAACATGGGTTGGGGACAGCCTATGAAACAGTGAGTAGGATTTTGGAAGGTCTAACTGGTTTGGACTGTGAACAAGAATATCCTCTACTCCTCTGACACAGCAAATGCATAATACCAGGTCACTAGACAGAAAGCCACAGGTCTCAACCCTGGCTGAACAGATCTCCACTTTCTCCTCTTCCCTCAATCCTCCTCCTCCATCCTGCAACAGACAGGTAAGGCCTCAGGGCTTCCCTGACAATGATTGGGAGAGCCCATGTCTCATCTTCAACCAAAGGATGCTGTGCATTGGGAACAGTGGTGGTTATTGAGGGACCAATGGGAGCAAAAGGCGAGCCAAAGCCTCACTACTGTCTCAACAGCCACAACTACTTTGGCCTTTGTCCCCCAAGCCATATGGCAGGGGAAGGCAGAGGATGACCATCAAACAGCTAATCTTGTCTAAGACAAAGAGAATCATTTACTGATTCCCATCCTTTCTCCTCAATAAACCTTTCCACAACCTGGACAAGGGTTGTTGGGACTCTCAGGAGGTGAAGCTATCAGTGGATCTTCTAGTTCCTCACTGAGAACATGTTTATCAGAAGTATAAGCCCTGACTGTATCAGGCACTTGTGTGAGTATATGTGCACACACACATATCTGGCTTTGGGACATCTCAGACATGGAGAATCCAAAACAGAACTTGCTATATTTCCCCCAAATAAGATCTTCCTTTTCTCTTTCATTGCAAGAAACTGGCACCACTAACCAAGTCAGAAACTGTATCATCCTTGACTACTCTCCCCCTCAATTGCTGCATCCAATTTGGCTAAGTTCTGCTAATTCTGGCTCCAGAAGAGCTCTGAAATATCTCCCTATATCTCCAGCACCACTGCTAGATCCTAGCGCAGCTCCCATTGCCTTGGCTCTGGGTCTTGAAATTTCCCTGTCAATTAAGGTCCCAGTATCTAGGAACTATTCTCAACAAATCATTTTTCAAACTGAGCCATAAATATCTTCCTCTAAAATTGCTTAACAGTGTAGTACTGACATAAGGATAGATATATAGATGAACGGAACAGAATTGAGAGTCTAGAAACAAATCTTTGCACCTATGGTAAATTGATTTTTGACAAGGATGCCAACTCCATTTAACAGGAAAGAATAGTCTCTTCAACAAATGGAGATGGTACAACTGTATACCAACATGCAAAAAATGAAATCAGATCCCTACCTCACACTGTATACAAAAAATTAGCTCAAAAAAGATTAGACACCTAATTATAAGAGTTAAAATTATAAGCTCTTAGAAGAAAACATAGAGGTAAATCTTCATGACCTTGAATTTGGCAATGGTTTTTTAGATATGACACCAAAAGTATAAGCAACAAAAGAAAAAATAGATAAACTGGACATCATCAAAATTAAAAGCTTGTGCACCAAAGACTCTATCAAGAAGTGAAAATACAATCTAGGGATTGGAAAAAAATATTTGTAAATCATCTGTCTGATAAGAGTCTAGTATCTAGAATATGTTAAGAACTCTTTCAACTCAAAAACAAAAAAGACAAACAACCCAACTTTAAAACAAGCAAGCAACTTGCATAACACACTTTTCCAAGGAAAACATACAAATAGCCAATAAGCACACAAAAATACATTCAACATCATTAACCATTTGGGAAATGCAAATCAAAACTGCAATGAGGTATCACTTCACTCCCACTATATATTTACAATTTTTAAAAATGGAAGATAATTGGCTAGGATGGAGAGAAATTGGAACCCTCAAAGGATGCTGGTAGGAATGCAAAATAGTGTAGCCTCTGTAAAAACCAACTTAGTGTTTCCTCAAGAAGTGTAAACCTATGTGATCATATGATCCAGCAATTCCACTACCAGGTATTTATCCAAAAGAACTGAAAATTAGTATTCCAACAAATACTTGTACACAAATGTTCATAGCAGCACCAGTCACAAAATCCAAATGTGGAAACAACCCAAATATCCATAAACTGGTGGATGGCAAGCAAAATGTGGCATATCCATACAATGGAATATTATTTGGCCATAAAAAGGAATATAGTACTGATACATGCTAAACATGGATAAACTTTGAAAACATTATTCTAAGTGAAAGCCACCAGACTTGAAAGGCCACCTATTATACAATTCCATTAATATGAAATATCTAGAAAATCAAATATAGAGAGACTAAAATATTAAAACAAATGGAAGAGGTTACTAGGTAAGGAGAAAGGAAAGAGTGGGAAGTGACTGCTCACCAGACACAGGGTTTCCTTTGAGAAGTGAAAAAAATGTTCCATAAACTAGAGAGCGGTGATGATCATACACATTATGAAAGTACTGGATATCACTAATACTAAATTTTATGCTATGTGTATTGTACCACAATTTTTTTAAATGCATGTAATAGGCAAGAAGGCATAGACTCAGCTTTCTCTGCCCCTCCCTTCTAAATAAGTTGATGCTTGAACAGCACAAAGGTTAGAGACACTGACATCCCATGCAGTCAAAAATCCATGTTTAACTTTTGATTCCCCCAAAACTTAACAATAGTGTACTGTTGACTGGAAGCCATACTGATAGCATAAACAACTGATAACAAGTATATTGTATGCTTTATGTATTATATACTGCATTCTTATAATATTAAGAAAATCATTAGAAAGAGAAAATACATTTACAGAACTGTATAGTAGTCACTGAAAAAATCCACGTATAAGGGAACCGACATAGTTCAAACTCATGTTGTTCAAGGGTAAACAGTAAACTAAATATCCTGGAAATAGTTCAGCAATCAATCATGAAAGGACTCTGAAAACTAGAAAGGATGCAGTGGACTAGCTAGGAACCTCAGAACTTGAGGATGAAACTGTGGTGAGTTCCACAGGGTTTTCTTTTTTATCTCCCATA